AGTACATGAAAAACAAAAAAATAAACAAATATATATGACCTGTATGATTTGGTTAAATTCAGTTTTGGTTTTTCAGGAAGCCAGAATAGGTTTGGAAACATTGCAGCCTTGGTTAGGTTTGTTTAATCAAGTGGTCTCTAAGGCATGTGTGCCACAGCCACAGCTGACTATGAAGTGTCAGTCAGGCAAAGATTTTTTCCACAGGGTGTCAGGCTGGTTTAAATGTCTTCGAGAGACAAACGAGTAAAACATACATCTTTTCACAAGTCAGTTTATAGGGGGGGCATATAAGTGTTGAAAAGACACACAGTACATCTTAGAAAGAAATAATGTCAAAGCAAGAGAGAGTGGAAGATGGCCCAAATGGAAGCTAAAAATAATGATTTGCAATGGTATGAAAGTAAATAGTAAGTTTTTAGGCGTTCAGCAGCTAATGAGCTATGATAGTGTTGTTCAGTCTCAGGTCCACACAATTTTACTTTTTTACAGATCCACAGTGGAGACTCGGACCAGACATATTAGGCAGGCAGGAAAGGTTGGAATTGGCTTTTCATTCCCACAAAACTCTGCTTCTTGCTGCTTCCTTGTATTTCACATTTTCCCATGTCCTGCAGGTATTTGAAGGAAACCAGGATGCAGAGACTCCTGTCCTCGCTCTTTTCAACACGTCCACTGTGGCCCGTTACATCCGGATCAACCCACAGACCTGGTACCAGAACGGGACGGACGGTGACATCTGCCTGAGAGCCGAGGTGTTGGGCTGCACACTCCCAGGTGCAGGAACAATGTCTATAAGGATTTGCTTTTTTTTCCCCACAGTATTTTTATTTAAATGTATAACACCTTGAAATTCAGACTTTTACATTTATATAATGTATAGAACATAAGATTGCTGCATTTACTCAAAAGGGGGAAAAAAAACAAAAGAAAAAACCATAACACAAGAATGCTCTTCCTGTTTTAACAAATGGCAGTCTATTCATAATTTCTACTATAACTATGTTTAGAGATTTTTGTTTGGTAACACACACCTTTCCCATTTCACAGATCCAAATAATATCTACGCATGGCAGACACAGCCGGCAGAGTCCAGAGACAAACTGGACTTCAGACACCACAACTACAAGGAGATGAGGAAGGTAAGACAGAGTCAGACGCATAGTGTTGATTGTGATCATAGCATTTAATTTTTTTTAGATTTAACTGATGTTAACAAACCAGGTTTCTGCAGTGAGTGTAGGAATCTCCCACAGTGTGTGTGGTCTGGTCTCAGTCTAACCAACAAGAAAGCAAACTTTACGGGAGGTTTCACTCCTTCATGGCAGCGTCCCCACTGCGCTGTGTTTGGAGACGCCGTCCTGCATCTGGTGGTCAGAAAACAGCCCACAGAAACAAAAACAGATCCACATTCCACATTTTAATACATTCTGCATTTTAACACAACTTTGACAGGTCACACACATACAGTATGGAAGTGCAAGTTTATGGGGGTGACTGCACAAATATTTAACGGTGACTGGAGATAGTCTTTTATTGATGGACAAAATACAAATGCACAAATAAGAGTGTCTGAGTGACAGGACAATTCTAAGCCTCTTTGTTATTGTACATGTTTTCAAGCATTTTATGGCCTTCAAAGTTCATTTTGTATTTTAGACCCTGCTGGTATTTGATTCCATGCCTTCATGTTCTTCTGCAGTGTATCCTACTTTCCCCACACATTTTCACTGACAATGATCATAAATGAGAGTTGATATTTTGGAATGAAGTAAATGAATGAATGAATACATTTGCAAAAAATACACCGACATGGACAGTTCAATAAGTCAGGGAGTCCCAACTGCATGCAGAAATTTAAACCTTGTTTTAAGTTTGGAACATTTTCACACGATCAAAAGGCTGAATGTGGTAAAGTTTAAAATGCCAGGATATTATTAATAAATAGAGCCACAAGCAGCAATGACCTGGTCCAAGCAGACTGTGAGCATCTTATTTCATTGACAAGAGAAGGTGACTCATTAACTTCACCCCTGGGGAGACATGACTGTCCACATACCTTCTCACAGGTCAAGACAATGACATCACATTTGTAGAACTTTTTACAACCAAATCAGTGTTATGTTGTTTGTGTACATAGGGTTTAAGGTGATAAACAGAGACAGATAGAGGGGTCTTATCACAAGGACTGTGAGCAGCCTCAAACAGCAGATTGGAAGTACCTGTGCATTTTTTCCACCTTCAAAGCTGAATACTGCCCTTAGCAGGGTTCAAACTCACAACTAAGATCTTCTCCAAGATCTTAAACCACCACACTACTTCTTCTAAAAACAGATTTGGACCAAATTCAAAATGATGGAATATTTATTGGGTGAAAATGGGGATATAGGCAGAAGAAGAAAACTGTAGGCTTTGCAGCTTGGACCCTTAATAATGTGGTTTGATGATTAAATTAATTAATCAGTGATACATTTCACTCCCTTTTCAACACGCTGTAGTGCATTGAGCAATGGTCTCAATCTCACTCCTCTAAACACCATTGTTGTTGTTTCCCAGCTGATGAAGTTGGTGAATGAGGCGTGTCCTGACATCACTCGCATCTACAGCATCGGGAAGAGTTACACGGGCCTGAAGCTCTACGTCATGGAGATCTCTGACAATCCTGGAAAACACGAACTGGGTGAGACACAGTGGAGAAACACAGTGGAGAAACACAATGTGGAGAGTAAAATCTCATTCTAAGGTTCATCATAGTTTATCTCTGCATGTAGGAGATCCAATTGCTGAAGTTTCAATCATCATTTTCATCCACCAATAATAATAGGCAGTTTTTTTGGTTAATTTAATGAGTTTTAATTATATGTCAGTCAAGTTATGCATCATATCAGATTGCATATCAATAAGTCAATCATTTCAGGGTTTTTTTATGTGTTCTTCATAAGTTAAGGGTCAAAGGCTGTGAGTTAGGGAAGCTCAAAGTTATTTCTGGCTTATGAGCAGTTCAACCTCAAAGAAGTGCTTCTTTAACTTAACAGCAGGCTTCCACATGCTGTACTGCTGCCACACTGCTCCAATGAGGCTCCAATCATTAATCTAATGAGGGGCTGATGCTCTGCAATCACATAGTAATCAGATGGGACTCCTACAGTGGCTGCCACTGTATCCCAGCCCTCCAAAACTACACGGACAGTCCAGCACTGTGTGAAACATAAACCGATACAGACCAGAGTACCTCTGAGTTTACTCTGAGGTGTACAAATGTTTGCTTTGGCCTCCTCAGCTCTGCCCACATGGCAGCGGAGTGGAGAGGTTTTCCCGCCAAAAACACACGGCAGAGACAGCAGCAAGGAGGAGCAGAGGGAGAGAGGACGATCGTGCCCCTCCATTCAGTCTAAAGTTTTCTGTTTTCAGTCATCCATCCTCTCATGTGCAACAAAAACACTCTACCAAAGGTTATTTCAGCTTGTTTCCATGCAATTACGTGTTTCAGGCTAGACTTTTGTATCATTTTCTACCTGTAGAGAACTACATGATCCTTTAACTTGAATAAAAATACAAAAATCACCACCGCTTTGTTTGTCTAGTATCTCCTGATGTCAGGGTAATTGGTAGCCTACACAAAGGAAAATATCAGTTTTTTCCTCCGCTCTGCTCAGTCTGTGACCTGGTTTTTTTTTTGTCCACCTCAAAGTCTTTTTTTCCAGCGACCAGTGTTGGTTTCCATGTGTTGGATCAACCTAATGTGACTAGTATTTTCTGCCATCTCAGTGGTTATAGCTGGCACACGCAAACTGGGTTCAAAGTAGTCAAAGATTCTCCTCTGCCCCTTCCCTGTTTCACAGTTATGTGTGAATGTTGTTTTCTTTGTGTGGGTTTTGTCTGACTAAAGCTTTTTACTTTTGATGCTGCTGTCTTGGCTGGGCCACTCTATTTTGTATCTCAATATGTCTACTTAGAGATTAGAAAGATATGTAAATGTAACAAAACCACAAGAAGCAGAGGAATATACTGCTGTTTGCTGCTTGAGACATGCTGCCCTCCCTTAAAAAATGCCTGACCATGTTAGGGTCACATTTTAGACTAAAACAATTTATTGATTTCTAATGCCACCCGTAGATATTTCTATTCTATGCTTTACTTATGTGCCACAATTATGGAATCTTTTTGAGTTGAATTATCGTTATTTGATTATATATATATTGATTTTGCAATTAAATCAGCATATACCACAGCTTATATACCACAACACACGCACTAGAGTCCACGTGTGTCAAGGAGTTAAAGTTGGCTACTTACAGCAAAGTGTGAATAGCAGATTTGTGCCACATACACACTACAGCTTAAAGTTGAATCTAAAAGAATCTTTTCAAAGTTTAGCTGTTTTTCCTGGCCTAACCAAAACACTGATTCAGGATCTTCAGTAGCATTTCCAGCTTCAGTTATTGAAGTAAACTCCAAGTAAATCAAGAAAAATATCAAGAAAATTTTTATTTTTTTACCTAAATTGCAAAAAAAATAAAAAGTTATTCAGAGCCTGTAAACCTGGCTTGTAAGCTTCTCAACCATTGAAAAAGATGTTGTGCTTTGAGTATGAACACTGCACAGACCATGTCAGTTAAAACTGTATCATTGTATGTATGCACTTTCCGATTGTTATATGCAAGAGAGTAGGGACAAACCCAGATCAGCCAACTCTCTGAACCACCGTGTGTGAAACTAATCTCAGTGTGAGCTGGAACTCCTCCTCATAAACAGTTGTGAGGAGGATGTGTGAGATTTCAGAGCCGCCTGTCAGTACCCCAGACCAAACAGGAAACAGATCCAGGTCTTTTCAATGGGGTCAGTGAAAGAGCTTCATCTGTGCAGGAGGGATTTTGAAAGCACAGATCGTGTAGGAGTATCAAAGTTTGTGAGGACTCTTGATGCTCTCTGAATATATGTGCAAGTGGCTGATTTCTATTATGTAAAAGTAACAAATACAAACACTGCATGCACACATGATTAATATCTGGGAATGGAGCTCGCTGCTTCCTCAAAAACATATTTGACTTGCCTGTTGGGGTCTTGCTCTGTCTTAGTTTGGACTTTTAGATACATGTCAAATAGTGTAATGAATCAGTGCTTTTAACTCCATTTCTCCATGTCTGTGTTATGGCGCCCCCTGCAGGAGAACCAGAGTTCAGATACGTTGCAGGGATGCATGGGAACGAGGTGCTGGGCCGAGAGCTCCTGCTCAATCTGATGCAGTACATCTGCCAAGAGTACAAACGGGGAGACCAGCGCATCGTCCACCTGGTCAAAGAGACTCGCATCCACCTCCTGCCCTCCATGAACCCTGACGGATATGAGATGGCCTTTAAAAAGGTGCCTGGAAATGCATTCAGTCCAAGATTGTGCTGTGCTCTCCATGATGGCTGCTGACATGAGTCCCACTTCCTGTCCCCCACAGGGTTCAGAACTGTCAGGCTGGGCCCTGGGACGTTACAGCTATGAAGGTATCGACATGAACCACAACTTCGCTGACCTCAACTCAGTGATGTGGACCGCCATTGAGCTGGAGACAGACCGGTCCAAGCTCATCAACCACTACTTCCCCATCCCTGAGCAGTACACCTCTGAGGAAGCCTTCGTAAGTTTTCTGTAGACACACACTTTGGAAAGAAGTGTGTCATTTATTCAAAATCAGCATCTTCATCATCTCTGCAATATTTCTCTAACTCTTAAAATGCCTCCTTATCTCGTTTCTGTTCATACTTGATATTTAGGGTAACAGAAATAATTTGAAGGCAGTATGGCTTTAATCTTAACTTGTCACGTTTTTCATTAGTCATCACAACTACTACATTGTGTGACTGAAGCCAGTAGAACAGAGGCTATGTTTGTGGGTCTTCTGCTCTTTCCTGGTCTGCTGTGATGAAAATCAGATAAACATCTAAAACTTCCAAACTGTAACTGTAAAAATGTGTATAAACTGACGGAACTTTATTCACTACCTTTAGGTGGCGTCAGAGACGCGAGCTGTCATCAACTGGATGCAAGACATCCCATTTGTCCTTAGTGCCAACCTCCATGGTGGAGAGCTGGTGGTCACCTATCCATATGACATGACCCGGGACTGGGCACCGCGCGAGCACACGCCCACTTCTGACGAGAGCTTCTTCCGCTGGTTGGCCACAGCGTACGCCAGCACCAATCAGGTTAACCCTCCTCCTCCTCCTCTTCTTCCTCCTGTCACTTCTTGCCCTCACCTTTAACACAAACATTATCAGGAAGGTGACTGCACCACCTAACATGTCCCTGTATCTTATGTAACCAGGTGATGTCCAACCCAGACCGGCGGCCCTGCCACAACAAGGACTTCCTCAGATACAACAACATCATCAACGGGGCCGACTGGCACAACGTACCAGGAAGTAAGAATGTGTGTGTTTTTCAAAGTAAAGTTAATCTAATCCAGTGTGGCCTAAAGCTGAACTCCATAAAGTTCATAAATTAAAACACAATTATTATTTTCATGTGCAGTGGTGGAATGAATGTAACTAAGTACAGAACAGAAAACTAAACTAAAAGTATCAATTTAAAGTGTGTTTTTCTTTCTGTTTAGGTATGAATGATTTCAGCTACCTGCACACCAACTGTTTCGAGGTGACAGTGGAGTTGTCATGTGATAAATTTCCTCACGCCAGTGAGCTTCCCATCGAGTGGGAGAACAACAGAGAATCCCTGCTGATCTACATGGAGCAGGTCTGGCTGCTTTGGTTGAGTTCTGATGTTGATCATTTCTCTTTTTCCTTTCCTCCTAAATCTTTTTTTCCTCATTTTCCCTGCCCTACTTTAATATCCTTCTAATTATTTTTCTTCTTCCTATAATTTTAAAATATTCTTACTCAAGCAAAATCTTTTCCTCAGATAAAAGGAGGCAGAGGAGGTTCCACATCTGGTGGTGAAAGTTAGAATATCTCTGTTGCTTGTTACAGTGCATTGCACTTTTTTATCTACAGCATCAATAAAATGGTAATTTCCCTCTAATTTTAAGGTCCACCGAGGAATTAAGGGTGTGGTTCGTGACAAAGACACAGAGGCTGGCATTGCAGATGCCATCATTAAAGTTGATGACATTGATCATCATATTCGATCAGGTACAGTCTTACACCTCACATCAGATTAGGGCTGTGTATTGGCAAAAATCTGCCGATACCATACGTATCTTGATACATGGGTTACGATTCAGTATATTGTGATATACTGTAACCACAACAGTGGGATCTGCCTTTATATTTATCAGTCCCTGTAACATCATAGCCCTTGTGCTTCACACTTCTATATGAAACTTGTGGATATGTCACTCAAAATTTTAAGTTTGTCACTCTTTCTTGTATGTGTTGTAGTATAATAATAAGCTATATATATATAATAAGCTGAATAAAGTGCTTTAATAGTACAAAGGCTAGTGGATGTGAGGATGTACTTCCACCTTGCCATGTAATGTAAGTCTTCTATTTAAATAGTTTTCATCATATCTTAGTGTCACTTCTCACTGTTAACTTCCTCTCCTTTTTCAGTTGCTGATGGCGACTACTGGCGGCTGCTGAATCCGGGCGAGTACCGTGTGACAGCCAGCGCGGAGGGCTACTACCCCTCCTCCCGCACCTGCTATGTCATGTACGACCACTACCCCACAATCTGCGACTTCCGCCTCACCAAGATGCCCAAGCAGAGGCTAAAAGAGATCTTGGCGAAGGGGGGGAAACTGCCCAAGGACCTGCAGCTCCGGCTGCGACAGCTCCGCCTGCGTAAGCTCCGGGTCACCACCAAGGCCATGAACCAGCGGCGTGTTGCTGCTGCCAAACGGGCGAAGAGGGTGTGATTATGTTACATTATAAAAGGTCATACGAGAACAAAGCAGGACTTGGTTCAGAGACGTCTTCACTGGATTCATGTCCCTTTTCTTCTTTATGAAGGACAAAACAACGAGGCACCTTGCTCCTTGTTTTACACCTGCACACACACACACACACGCCTGGGAGCTGAACACTTTCACTGCTGTGGAGCAGCAGAGCCACTGAGGGAACAGCTCCTTTCTAAAGGCCATTTATGGTTTCTGTTAAAGTCACATTTAATGTCTTTTCCATGTTTCAGGCTGAAGGTCACAAGATCAATAAAGAAACTTTTGATCCACAAGAGGCCTCACCAGCCTGTTTACTGAAAACAATTTCTTTATTTATATATGGAAAAAATATGTGCACAACGCTGTGGTGGCTTGCCAGATTGTAAGTGAAGCGAGGACTATGAGGGCTGACTTTCAGTTTTCAGGGTGTTCACATCCAGTGCAGGAACTGTTTCTGCAGCACAGCAAGAAAATGACAAGGGCAGCACTTTACACTCACTGTCACTGTTCCTATTTAAATCCACTGTGCAGGAACAAAGAGCCAAAGCAACAAAAAATATCTCAGTCATTTTCTGTCCATGCAGTACTGAATGTTGGACATGTAGCAAGTTACACATTATGTATAAATAAAAGAAAATACTGTTCTGTTTAAAGTTTTATAGTTATTAAAAACATAAAGACATTGCTTCCTGAACTAAAATAGATTCCAGCAAAGGGAATAGTACTGAATACGGATATCTCTGAACACGAGCAATAACACAAGAAGCTAATCCAAAAAGTACCAATAAAAACAGTATGCGAGGTTAGTATGTACTTGTTTTATAAAAGTAGTTTGTTTTAAAGCCACAACCCCAACCTCCTGCAGTTAGAAGTATTTTAAAGTATCTCCATATAAAGTCAATAAGAAATATTATGCTTATTTAAAAATATAATGAATATAATGAATTTGTTTGCATCAGTAAACTGAATCTAAAATATTAACACTAGTGTATCTGTTTATGGGATGAAAGCTGTCTGGACTTCCTGTTCTTTGATGGGTGTTAACCTGTTAAAAGCTGGTGCGTGAGGTTGTAGGAAGAGGCTGTGACTCTTAGGAGGGCTACCAAAGCCTGTTCACATAAATCATTTAAAACATCTCCTGACACTGAACTCTTCTAGAAATACCTGGATGTAATATCAAGAAGTTAAGCATCTGTACGCCACAGAGAATGATCAGATTTGAGGAGACATTAATTGAATCTTTATTTGTTACATAATTACCATTTTTACTTTACAGTTAAAAAACTAAAAACTAAACTAGTTCACGTTAGAACAGTGAGCTTCCACTTGACCCCGTTTCTCATCTTGGGTGGCGCCAGGACCTCGGCAGCTACAAAGAAAGAAATAATGAGAAAAGAGGAAATTATGTCACCTGATCTGCAGTGCCTGAAAATGACTTCCCATGATTCCTACTGTCTCTGTCTCTCACCAGCTCATTTCTGAGTTGATGCTGTTATAATGGGATGACAAGCAATCATTAAAGACTAGACATTCTGCTGACCTTGCTGTGAGGCTGCAGGTCTCTGCTGCTGCTGGAAGGAAGCCATGATGCTGTTTGCAGTCGAGTTTGGCCCCGTGAGCTGAAAAGCAAAAAATGACAGCCCAGTTAAATTAAAAATACAGAACAGTAGAAAGAATATCCAAAAATCTAAAATGAAATGAACAAGACTGTATTCTCCTTTCTCACAGACAAATTCACAGAATGAATGTGGGCACAGGTTCCTCTTAGTTTGTGCACAATATTATTACTATTAGGGTTATAAAAAGGTTTAATCCTATATATGGGATCATGTCTTTTTTTAATTGTACTATTGAACCACTCACAGCAACAGACCTAAAACCAGATTAAAACAAGCGTATTAGTGTGAGTATGAAAATATGTCGATAATGTATTTACCGGAGCTTGACTGTTCTGCAGGCCTTCGGGCCACACCTCAGGAACCGCCGCCTCCATCGTCTGCAGAGCCTCCTCGTAGGCCAGCTGCAGCTTCTCCGCCTGTTTGTCAAACTGGAAGAGCACCAGGGCCTTCAGCAGGTTGTGCACTTCCTCTGCAGGGGGGGAGGAAGAAGGAGAACGAAATGGTTCAGTTTGGATTTTGTCTTGTGAATGCTCCTGCAGAATAAGACTACACTTCCCACCATCCTAAATCTTGCAACCTCGGTGGAAACTTTCAAACAGAGGCGTCTCAACATTATTAAAGTTATTCAAAATCTAAACCAACTGTAAGTGATGAAGAGTGTTTATGTCTGTACCCCTCATCTTGTCCACGGTGGTGATGATCTCGCCCAGAGCGTACATCAGCGCTCTGTCCTCCATCGGGCTTCCTTCCTTCAGACTCAGCTTCTTCCGCTCTGCTTTGCGGCGGTTCTTTGATGATCTCCTGCAGGCGGAGCCGAAACATTAAACCAGCAACCAAAATGAAGTTATTTATCACATGGGGCGCATTTCACACTGTGGAAATCCGGGAGAATCTGTTTTTAAGGTGGGTGCGTGCGTTTGGTCTTACGAGGAGATGCGGGAGTTACTGTGGGAGTATTTGGAGCCGGTCATCACACTGCTGGCTTCAGAGTACAGCTCGGCATCAGGGCAGTCTGGACAATCCTCATCTGATGGAGAGGACAGAGGGTTACTGTTTTAATTCTTTCACTCCTCCTCATTTTGCTTTTCTGAAAGTGAGAGCCATATTGTGGTGGTAATATGACCTTTTTCCTTAATTTCTTTAATTATTTCTTAGTGAAATTAACTTCCTCTTAGGCCTCCAGGAGGTGAACAATTAATACTATAATAGAAAAAGTAAGATTTTAAGAGTCAACATAACAGCCCAAACTATTCAAATCCACCATGTTGGCTCAGACACTGTCTGTTCTGTCCATTCTGACATATTCTCACCCAGCATGTCCAGTCTGGCCTTCTCTTTCTGCTCTCGAACCACAGCCAGGCGGGCCCTGTGCCGTGTGAACGTTGCTACTTGAGCCTCCAGGAAGGCGGTCTGGGTGCTGACAGCTGACACGAGACAACATGACAACATCAATAACTGAACAGCAACTCAACAACACATTATTACAAGGCAAACAGTTTTTGTTTAGTCTCTATTGAACCCCTTCTTTTACTTCTGGTCTGTTTGGGAATACACAGTGGAAGAACATCTGGGTAGTTAGCATGAGACTGAATTATCTTTACCCTCCAACAGCGCAGGTTTGAGGTTGGTTTCAGTGATGTCCTGTCTGTTGTGCATGTAAATCTGAAGCAGACAAAGGAAACATCAGCCTCAGTAAGTCACATGAGAGAAGTGCTTCAACTTGATGTTAAAGTTTTTCACATTTTACAAAAAAAATGAAAAATGAAAAAATCTACAATAAAAGAATAAATAACAGTAAAAAATATATATTTTTACTGACCAATCGAAGCGCCTCCTCCCAGACTGCACCAGTGATCAGAGCCAAGATGGCTTCCTCACAGTCCTATTGGAAACAGAAGAATGAAGAGCTTTCAGCCTCAGCAAACAGCGACAGACGTGGTCTCTTGCTGGTGAGTTTTTGAACATTTGAACAATAAAATCCAACTTCACTGAATCATTACACATTCATTTGTGTTGCTGTTTTTTTGTCCAGCAGCTTCTAACTGCAGAGGATCTTACTTTGGCGTACTGGTCCAACAGCAGAGCAGCTTCTGAGTACCGTCGCTGTTCGGTCAGCTTCTCTAGAAAGAAATTAAACATTTTAGGATTTACATGCAATGCC